GACAGAAGTAAAATAATAAGAACAAAAATATCCTTTCTCTCCCTGGGTTTCAGATTTGACAGGTCATACTTTGACTCAAAGCACTTACATTACTATAACTGAGCAAGCCAGAAAGATAAAGGCAAAATGAGCACACATTTTTGTCAAGCTGAAAAGACAAAACATTTATAATACGAGCAGCATTAAATCAGCTGTTACAGTTCTGAAAGTTTTGTTGAAAAGGGTATTAATGCCATTTTTAATTAAAAGATTTGCAATATTTTTCCTTGATAAAAGTATCTCGTTAGTGAACTGAGATAGCTTCTCAAGAAAATGTTTAACAGCTGGAAAAAGTACAATACTGAGGAAAGTGCTATCAAAAGTTTAAGCTGAGTCTATGCTTTATGGGTTATTATTTTAAGCCTGAAGCTTCTTGGGAGTCAAGAGCTGATCTTCTGCCACAAGCACTGCAGGGTTGGTTGAAACATAAAAATGCTTAATCTAAATATTTAATTTCAGATTAGATGGATTTCTACTAAAAGGCTATGAAACATTTCCGGTGAAGAGACTCAGGGGACACGCTAGTATGGCAACTGTAGCTGGTTCTTCCTATATTTCTGCATCTGATTTCTCTTTGGATTAAAATGCCTACAGCATGGGGGATGTAGTCCAGGATGCAAGAATATTTGCTTTACTTCAATTATTTTTTAAAAAAAAAACTTGTTCTTAATAAAACAGAAATTTTGATTATCTAGTCAAGCACACACAGAATAATTAGCATCTGCTATGCAAATTGTTCCCCAGCAGGGTGCCACTCATCCTGCTTTCCCTTTTCCTGCAACCAGACTGCAATTTGGCTGCATTTCCTTATGGGTTCATCTTAGATATGCTATGACAATATCCATCTTTGATTATCCTTGGGTGTTCAGACAGCCACATTAACATAAAAAATGATGGATTAAAGGAAAGACTGGAGAATAAGTAGCAGACAATATAAGTAATGGCAACCATTGTGATGCTGAGAAAGAGATGGATGGTGCACAGTAAGAATCAATCAATCCTATATTGACAATATAGGTAGAGGGCCAGGATCCTTCACAGCTGGATTTCAAGGGATAGAAGCACTCAGTTTTAATCTCTTTAATATGAGGCTACCCATTGCATTTTTTCCAGTTTTAAATCATGTTTGGAAACAAATACTTTCCCTATATGTGGTCATATTCTGATGAACATCTATGTATGCTCACATGCAACTAGTTTATCAAAGGTCTACCTATAAAAGTCTTCTTTTTTTCAAGTCACCACATGAAGAAAGCAATCAGAGATTAGGAACATCTTGCAGATACAAGGTGCATTTGACTATTTGCCTTTCCCACACTCTCCCTGCCTCCACCTCGAAATACTCCATCATAAAACTAAAATGTTCTGATAGTATTTGGAGAGTACAACTTTTTAACCACCCGATTATATTTTGTGAATATTATTCATTCCATCCCTGCAATCAAAGGAGCTGATATTTACTGTAAAAAAAAAAAGTTGTTGTGGTTTGAATAAAAACCGAATGTTCAGGTTAGATTTGGTAACTGTGTGTGAGCTGCACAAATGGGTTGTAGACACTTTTTTTCCCCCAGCAAAAAAGCTACTTATGCTCTTGCAAATAGAATATGGGTTTTATTTTTTTATTTGTAAAAACATCCCTTATCGGTATTTCCAGGGAGAAAATATATTCTTAAATGATTTAAAATAACTCACTCTTAACTCCATTACTTTAGATCTGTAGAAGAAGGGGCAGAACCTGGGGAGGTGGAGTCAAGGTAGGAATCAGCCTGGAATCATTACGTTTCCACAAGTGATCCAAGTCCAGCACTCCTTTGAATTCTATTAACTCTTACCTAGCATCAATTTAGTGCTGGTAGTTAACTAGATTCTTGTTGGCTTGAACAACAAATCATTTGACTGGAATTTAACACATGACCTTGATTTTTTTGTTCTGACAAGATCCCCCCCTCAAAGTTAGTCATGTCTTCATTAATAATGGTTTATGAAGAAAAAAGATTCCTAGTGTTATCTACTGAGAGAGTAAACAGCGAACGGCTCTAATTGCAGCTTTCTGCAGTTTATGATATTGTGAGATGGTTTCATATATGGACACAAGCTTCTAATGGTGCTATTTATCACTATGACAAAGGCTGGAATAGAGGAAAGCTTGAAATGAACTGAAGTAAAAAAACTAGAATTTTGATTATTTCAGCCACTGGATACGATGTTACCTTATATAGGCGAATTGTACAGGTATGATTTGCACCCTATCAATCAAGGTGATTTTGCTTTAGAAAACCTCCTTCTGGGTGTATTCTAAAGAATTATGAAATAGTTTACTGCTACCTTAAAATAAAGTCTTTGTCTATCCTAGATTACTCTGATCAGCTATTAGGGCTATTACTGAGATTTCCCCCCCCCCTCCAAATGCTTGTTATGATATTTATATCATAACTCCAGAGCCAAGGTGGCGCAGTGGTTAAGAGTGCAGTACTGCAGCTACTTCAGCTGACTGCTAGTTCAGCAGATCAGCAGATCAAATCTCACCGGCTCAAGGTTGACTCAGCGTTCTATCCTTCCGAGGTGGGTAAAATGAGGACCCAGATTGTTGGGGGCAATATGCCAATGCTAATGCAATATGTTAATTTGCAATATGTATTATGCTAACTTTGTAAAGTTATGCTTAGAGAGGGCTGTAAAGCCCTATGAAGTGGTATAGAAGTCTAAATAATAATAATAATAATAATAATAATAATAATAATAATAATAATAATAATAATAATAATAATAATAATAATAATAATAATAATAATAATATATTAACCATTGTTATATGCTGCATTCCAATATCATAAGGAGTGTGTGTGTGTGTGTGTGTGTGTGTGTACGTACATACATATATGGCAGAAACTGGGGCAAGTAACGGGAATTTACCCTGTCACACAGCGTTCAGGTCTTGAACTGGGCTGCCAGCTAAAAAGGTCAGCATGAGCCATCATGCCCCTATATATTACTTAATCTTCCACCATCAGAAATAAAAACTGTAATTCTATAAATTAAATATATGAGCAAATAATTAAATGATTATGTATTACATGCCTTTACCAAGGCACAGATTAGATCAACGTAAAACATAATATCCCATGAGCAGATCAAATGTGTTGATGTAGATAATTGGAGATTGAAACAGTAGACCATGCACTCTGTACAGGGCTTTGCAATTATATAATACAAACATTTATTATTATATATTCAAGTAGGCCAGAAACACTTTTTAATGGCTTTATATCAGTATCCATATGTGTCAAAGGGATTTGCAAAATTTTGCTCCTTTGCCTTAACATATGTGGAAAATCCAAATCTTATATGATGTATTATTAACCCATTATTTTTCATTTAAATGGTTTTTAAAAGTTGATTTTTCATTGTAAATAGTGGCTTATTTGACTGTCTGATTAATTGATTAATTGAATTTTTTACCAGTAACACCAGTTACTGCATTTTAATGTAACTGTTGATTTAACTGCTTTTTAAGGATTGACAATCAGTTCATCATTCATGTCATTGCAAGTTTTTTTTAGTAGATAGATGGCGAGCTACCTGGAGCCCTAAACTTTTAGGTGGTACTGGGAAGGTAAAAGGATATTCCAGGAGGACACAATGACCAAACACTTTCCTATGGCTGCCCAGAAAACTACTTGGCTTAAGGAGTTACTGAAGGAATCTTTTTTTTCAATATCTGGAAAAAGGAGAAAATTAATTGCCCAAAATTGAGTTTTATGATGGAATTTAATACATAATCCATGATATAGATTTGTGCAAATTATATGTATAAGTTATATAAATTATCAAGAAAAAAAGTTTAAAGGAATTCCTTAGCCACGCAGTTCTTTTATATTTATGAAACCTTAATAATAAGAATAGAACATTCTGGAAAAGTCTAGAATATTCCATTTCTTCTCTCTACCAAGGTGAACCGCCTCTACTCTTTGTCATTATGAGTTCCATTGAGCAGTTTATGAAAGTAAATTGCTGATAAATCTCAAACATGCCATTCCAGTTCCAAGCAAGCGCTAGAAACATCTCAAATAGTGTCCTGTTTAGAAAATGTTTACCTACATGAACTGCCTTCCTGATCACATAATGGGAAAATCTGAAGTACGAATGAATGTTCTGTGCATCTGTGCTGAAGAAGGAGTAAATAAGCTAGACAACTAACCTTCTGTTCTGTTTGGAGCAAAGATCAGGTAGCTCTAAGCATGCTAACCTTTGGGAGACTTGTAGATCTGGTCTTTCTTTATGGATGGACAGTGTGCTGTGTGAACCACTGAAAATGTATATTTGGAATGTATTTGTCCGCATCATAGTATTTTTTTATTTAAATGAAACATTTTTTTATTTTATTTTTTATAATGATAGCTGCTTTCAAATCTTTTTGCTTGGTAAATGCACAACCATTGAAATCAAATTAATAAATAACAGATAAAGACAAATTAGATATATATTATGTAAAATATTCCCATGCCTCTTTTCATCTTATCAGGATATAAAAACGTATGTATAACTATACCTCTTCTACTTGCACCACCAATATTTTCTAATTCCCTCTTTTGCAATGGTAATGGTAATAAGCAAAATTACAAATTAAATTGAGTTTGATCCATATTTAGATGCATACAACCAATTAAATCCTTAACTTTGCTCCAAAAGGTCAGCCTGATAATACTAAACAGAATATTGTGTGATGTGTTTAGAAAGCTCATCTTGTCACATTCAGAAACATCATTAATAATATTGGGGTGGCTACATTAACAACAGCTACCAGGTTACTCTTTAATTCTTTTTTGAATGTACTTGGAGGAGCCGGGATTTGAAATGAATATTACCCTACACAAAATATGGTTTGTTTTCAGTTATGTAGAGCCTGATACCTCAAAGAGTCATTTTCAGTCTCTAATCTCTCTTCTCCATATCTTTCGCAGCCTTCGGCAAAAGAAAGGAAATCTGCCCCAGAGGCATTGGGCTGGATCATCTAATTTAGTAAAATGCAAGCCATGCCCTCTGACGCATGCCAGCTCTGTTTGTGGTTCTGATGGACACACTTACACCACCAAGGTAACATCATTTAATAATGAAAACATGCATAATTCATCCATGAAAGTGTCATGAGAAATTTAAAATTACAGTATATGTATGTAGCTTTTTTGGCTTGAACTACTTGAATAATTTGTTTTTGGAAGGATTGGAGATAAGAAAAAACTTACCTTGCCACTGCTCCTTTACCAGACCACTGAGTGAAGTCAACGTTTCGCACTATTTTTAATGTTTCTAGTGGAAACATTAAACTGGAAGAGGTTTTTTTTGGGGGGGGGAGAGGGGAGAGTTTGCAAAACTACCAGATTTGATGCCACGAGAATAATATTGATGCAAAGAAAGAAGACTTGACTGAATGTCCAAGTTACAGGAATCTTTAACTTCGTCTTGTGATACATTTCATTACCTTTCTGATGCAGCTGAATGCATTTATAGGTATGATACTGTACTGCTTCGCACTGACCATATGCATTGCCGTTGAAAATTAAAAATCTTGGAAATATAAATATAATCTGGTAGTGGAGAACATAGCCAACAGTCCTTTGCCATTCTTCAGTCAGTCTCTGATAAGTATACCACTTACTGGCATTCAGTGGGTTAAGACTGAGGCAACAAATGAACCCAGGCAATTAGACCCCAAGCAACAAATGAACTCTAATGGGTTCCATAAGAAAGTTGGGATTTCTTATGGATCTGGTAGGTCTTAGTTGTCACTTGGTCTTAGTTGTCACTTGGATTGGGTATTTGGCAGACTTGGCTTGAATATTCTAGACATCTGGTAGATAAAATCGTTCAGATTCACTTAGAATTGGACTGTCATTAAGCCAATACATTTGAGGTGAAGGAAGTCTTATGTGGGTACTTGGTATGTGTTTGAATGTGAAACTTCTAGGTAGTGGACATGATCCTCAGGACTGTTAACCTGACTGCCTGTTTGCTTGGTCGTTGCCCTTTTGATTTGTGAGGTTCTTTCTGGTGGTGTGTAATTGGTTCAGAATAACAGAATAACAGAGTTGGAAGGCACATTGGAGTCTTCTCGTCCAACCCTCTACTCAAGCAGGAAACCCTATATCAGTGATGGCTAACCTTTTTGCCATCGCGTGCCAGGACGGGGGGGCAGGGGAGGGTCGTGCGCACACGTGCCCACGCACATGCACACTCAACCCCCGCCCCCCCGCTCCTGGCACATGATGGCCTGGTAGGTCTATTTTTCTTTCTTACCTGGTTCCAGATCCTCTCTATTTATCTGGGAAGAGCAAAAACAGCCTTTCTCACTCTCTCGAAGGCCCTCCAAAGGCCTGAAACAGCCCATTTCCCAACTCCCGGTGGGACAGGAAGTGACATTTTTTGCTGTCCCCAGCCTCCAGAGCCTCTCTAGAAGTCTCTAGGAGCCTCTCTAGGAGTCTATGGAGGCTGTGGACAGCAAAAAACGTCACTTCCTGTCCCACCGGGAGTCGGAGTCGCAGCCTCCGTAGGGCCTCCAAGGGAGTGGGAAAGGCTGTTTTCGGCCTTCCCAGTTAAATAGAGAGGATCTGAAGCCAGATAAGTAAGAAAAATGGGCCTTCCCCCCCCCCCCAGGCCTTCCAGACGCAGGAAACAGCCTGTTTCCCTACTTCTGGTGGGCCCAGAAGGCCCGAAAATCCGGCTCGCACATGCGCCCCAGAGCTAAGCTGGCATGCCTACTAATATGGCTCCACGTGCCATATGTAGCACGCGTGCCATAGGTTCGCCATCACGGCCCTATATACCTTCTTGTTAAACCCACCAGTGTTGGAGCACCCACAATTTCTGGAGGCAGGTCGTTCCGCTGATTAATTGTTCTGTCAAGATATTTCTCCTTAGTTTTAGGTTCTCTCTTTTATTAGTTTCCATCTATTGCTTCTTGTCCTGCCTTCAGATTCCATTCAGTAATATCACTTTTTCAAAAGGAAGGCCTAGTTCACTAGTGGTATGTTTCTCCTTTAAGAGGTTGTTGCTGGATCCAATAGTTGTGGACAATTTTCACCCAGTCTAACCTTCCTTTTCTTAGGAGAGTTGGTAAAAAGGCAGTTTCAGAGGGAAGCAGATTATTCAGGCCTGTTTCAGCCTCATTTCAGGTTAGGATATAGTACACAGATAGCATCATGGTTGAAAGTTTATGGGTGACCTCTTGCAAAGCCAGAATGGTATGTTACTGTCCTGATAATCCCTGTTCTTTCAGTGGATTTTAATACTATCAGCCATGGAAGCAGGCAAGAGATTGACATGAGACCCTAATGGGTGATGTGTCCCTTTTCCTGTTTAATATCCACATGGTCTACATAATTTTTTCATTGTGGTTGTACATTTGTTTTTAATATTGTACACCAGCCAGAGTTGCTATGGAGTTGAGCAGCTTTACAAATATGATACATAAATAAAAATGAACTTTATAGTGAATGTAAAATTCAATCTGGTATACACTGTGTATCTGTGTATTTTGAGTTACATTAGGGTTCTGGTTACGCATACAACAAATAGCTAAGCAAATAAGGAATTTCATATCTACAAAAAGATTGCCGAGTAGATTATTTAAAAACAACAAAATTATTCATGCCTTAGGTATTGATTGAGCAAAAGAAAATCATTTTCTTAGTAATATGTAATTCATGCACTGGTATGTTATTTACAAGGGGAATTTTGGATTCTCTCCTGTATCTAACATTGGATAATTATTCAATAGGTAATATGTATGATTGTCCTGTTTACAAAGCTTTTCGTTGTACACAGTTCCTTGCAATAATAATTTGGATTCCATAAAAACCCAGATTTAAAAGTAAAATGGGTAAGCTCAAGCAATACAGAATGCTTCCATAAACTACTTTCTCCCTATCTTTGAATATCAGTGGTTGTCTAAAAGATTAATTCCAGAACATGTATCACACCGTAAGTCTCTGTGTGAACTCCAGGTTGGGAAATGAGCCATAACTAAGAGGTAAAAATTTTTGCTTGGCAAGCAAAAGTTTAATTCCCTGCTGTTTTTACTCCCACTCTGAAAACATCTAATATGTGCCCCCACAAAAAAACCCAATTCACCCAGAAGTGCCTGCAGAGGAGAATCAAAACAGGCAAGTTAGTGATTGGAGCACAATTGAGGCTCTCTTTGTACACATGTGACCCAGAAACATGTGCAAATGCATTATTTTCTATTGGGATACCACAATCAGCTTGCTGCCTGCTTTGAGTTCCCACCTCCTCATCCCTTGTAAATATTACAGAATCTACTCTTTTCACTGAAGTAATAATATTACACTCATTGCCTTGAGGTTGGGAGGCTGAGTTGCAACTCCAGACTTCCCTGACTTTAAGGCTGTCAGGAAACAGGAGTGGAGCAATTTTCTGTTGGTTAGAAACAAAAAATAAAGACCTGAAAGAACAAATAATCTGTACAATAATCATATTAAAAATTGCTATCTGAGCAGAGAATCAAATAAACCTTAATTTGGAGAACTAATTAACACATTTGGTTAAATTGGCCCATCAGTTTAGAATTCCTTGGTCCTATTTATCAACCTCCTACCCTTCTTTGGTTACATACAAGCATTTCTTTATATGCTTTGGATAACAGGTAATATGTCTAAGAAATTAGTTTCTGAGCCAGTAAATTATTTTCTGCCCCATACTCCTTATTGTAAGATTATTTAAAGTATTTTTTTTCAGACATTTGTCAACAGCTTTCTTACCCCAAACTTTATTCTTTTATCTGCATTATTGGGCAATACAGTACTAATTTCAGGTTCAAAAAGCTTCATTTTTAAAAAAAAAATCATAGCTACTCTACTGTGAAAGGCATATCAGTTTTGATTACTGTCATATAAATCATAATTTCCAAAGAAATTGCAGGTGTTTTTGCAATCCCACCAGCAAACCACAAAGAAAATAGAATGAAAGATAGATTTCTATTCTTCCTTAACTATCTCTCTTATCTTCAGAGCCACTTAGTCCATAATCATATAAACAAGTTGAGACTGGCTTGATAAATCCAGAGCTTTTGTAATGCACTCAGGCAAGCTGAGTAGATCTTTACTGAACAGGATGAATGCCAGGTATTTCAGAAAGCCTTCTGATTATTTACTATAGGATTTAATTCCTTTTTAAAATCCAGAATCAATGATATCGTTTCTTCAGCTTAGTTTTGAATCCAGTAATCATTATAAAGCATATATTAATTCATGTTCTTGTCCCATTTTGTATTTAGCATGTTAGTAACTGAAGTAGGGAATATTACCTGGCAAGGTGAAAATGTTGATAGAATAATTGTGGAAACAGAAGGTCAGCATTACACCTATACATATCTATTGGCCAGGGGTGGGTTCTACTTACCTGTACTACCGGTTTGCAACAGGAGCATTTCTGCGCATGCACAGATCATCAATTATGACGTCCAGGCGGGTGGCCAGAGCCTCCCACCGCTTTTACTACCGTTTCTAAAGAACCGGACAGAACTGGGAGCAACCCACCACTGCTATAGGCTCTTTCTGTACAGTCTTTGCAATATAGGTAAAGGGAAAGGTTCCCCTCGCACATATGTGCTAGTCGTTCCCGACTCTAGAGGGCGGTGCTCATCTCCGTTTCAAAGCCGAAGAGCCAGCACGGTCCGAAGACGTCTTTGTGGTCATGTGGCTGGCATGACTAAACGCCAAAGGCGCACGGAACACTGTTACCTTCCCACCAAAGGTGGTCCCTATTTTTCTACTTGCATTTTTTACGTGCTTTCGAACTGCTAGGTTGGCAGAAGGTGGGACAAGTAATGGGAGCTCACCCCGTTACGTGGCATTAGGGATTTGAACCACTGAATTGCTGACCTTTCGATCGACAAGCTGAGCATCTTAGCCACTGAGCCACCACATCCCTCCTTTGCAATATATATGTCTTCAAAATAAGGGGAACCAGCAAATGCAAATCCCAGTATGTGCATGCTCTTTCTATCACAATACAAGGCTGGGGCTTCAGGCATTGGTATATATAAACAGCTGAGTTTTCAGTATCAGTATATAATTCAG